CCCTCCCGCCCGCGTTTGGTCGGCCTAGCTGGCCACGGGAGCTCCTTGCTGGCTGTGCTACGCGCCTGCTAAGACACACGGACGCGCTCCCAGTGCCCTCCTGGGACAAACCAGAGGCCGTGGTGGGATCCCCGGTGAGACGGGGTGAAAGCCCTACAAGAGTTTCAGAAGTTTAGCCTGCGCAAGACTCGCCCGGGCCCAGCTGCGCTGCCCAGTGGCCGCGCTTCGTCCCTGCGCCACGAGGTCGTGGTTCAGGCCCGGGTTGCGGGCTCGATCCCCAGGAGGGGCGCGCAGGACGCAGCCCATCAATGTTTCTCTCTCCCTCTCCTTCCTCTGTCTCTAAAAAAAAAATCAATAAAAACATATTTTTAAAAAAAGGAACGGTTCCAGATACTTGTTTAAATGCACATTTCTGAGCGTCAGGCTCTGAGTCATGGGTCTGGGGTGGGGCTGAGGGATCTGGCGTCCTGGTGAAGGTGGGGCTTTGTCGCCCCGAGAAGGCTGCGTGTCCTGGAGGGGTGTCGTCTTCAACAAACCCACAGCTTAAAACCGGAGGAGAGAAAGCAGACGGCTCCTTAGCAGGCCCGACAACCAGAGTTGACATGATATTGTCACCGGCAACTTTGCGCCCAGGGGCCGCCGGCGACGTCGGGAGGCATTTTTGTTCGTCATGACTCGGGGATGCTGTTCACATCGGATGGGTGTAGATAGGCCGGGGGCTGCCAAACCCCCCCGAAAGCACAGGACGGCCCCCTCCCCCTCTCCACTCCCCCAACACAAACCTATCTGACCCAAAATGTCCATAAATCTAGGTCAAAAATATGCCAAAGTCAAGCTCAGTGCCGTGCGATGTGACCGGCAGGCACTCTACCCAAGTGCCGGCCAGAACCTGCTGACCGAGTCCCGGGGCTCCCCTGAGACACAACTCCAGCGACTTGCTTTCTCATCGCGTTTGGGGCTCAGCCATGTTTGCGAGGCTTCGTGGTTAATTATCAGAGCCAGCCCCTAATTACTGAAGTTGGCTATTTGATGTAGAACCCATGTGGTTTTCTTGAAAAATAATATGATACCACAACAATGCCCTACGCACAACAGGCTCGCCGGCTCCGTCAGAAACTCCCCGTGAGCCTCACAGCCTCCACGAAGCAGCAGTCCCAGGGCAGGCACGTTTCTGCGGCAGCTTTTAATCCCTGGTGGGCGTGTGGGCAACGTCAGCACCTCCCTCTGCGCTCGGGGTGCCGATCGGAGGAGCCGGGCTCTGCTCCGCGTGACCCGGGGTGAGGCCCGACCCTGAAAGTGTGCGGACCTGGCACAGCCCCA